AGAATCTAAAAAAAGAGTAGATATAGGTATAACTGACTCACTTTGCTGTACAGCAGAAACGAACAAGACATTGTAAGTCGACTCTACTCCAATAAAAATCAATTTAAAATAAAAAGACTTGAACAGATGCTTAACCGGAGAAAAAGTAAAAAAAAAAAAAAAAAAAGACAAGCCCATGAAAAGACACTCCATATCATTAGTTACTAGGGAAATGTAAATTAAAGTGGAAATGAGATGCCCATCACACAGCAGCATGACTCAAAGTAAACGCTAACAACATCGTGCTGGAGAGGGTGTGGGAAACCTCCGGATTCTCATGCTTTGTTGGTGGGAAGGCAAAATGGCACAACCATTTTGCAAGAAGAGTTTGTTAGATTCTTATCAAGTCCAACAGAACAGTTGCCATACGACCCAGCGATCCTACTTAGCAGATATTTTCCAAGAGAAAAGGTATTTACACAGCCAACTCCAGACTCGTACACACTTGTCCCCAGCAGGTCTGTTCCTAAGAGTGAAGCCCCGGAAACAACCCAAATGCCCATCGACTGAGGAATGGTAAACACACAGTGAAATGCCCTCCTGCAGAATCCTACTCAGCAAGCAACAGGCATGGATGACCCAGATAAATCTCATAAAGAAAGATGCAAAGGGTCATGCACAACGTGACTACATTTACAGGAATTCTAGAAGAGGCAAAACTATAGTGAAAGGAAGCAGATTCATTGGTTACTTGGGGCTGGAAGTAGAAGGAGGGCATTGACTACGAACAGGCGTGAGGGAATTGAGGGGGGGAATGAAGATCTTCTATATCTTCCTTGTGGTAGTGTTTACACAACTGCAAACATTTTTCAAAACTCACTGAACGGATTCAGTTAAAATAGACAAATTTTATTGCCTTGAATTATACCTCAATAAGGCTAATTTAAAAAAAAACCTCAACGTATAACAATTATCAGTATTACTGGTGTAATTCAGTAGAGCTGAATGAAAGGTCAACGCTATGACAAAATTGTGGCCCCACATTCACCTGTTGAAGCCCTAAGCCTCAACGTGACTGTATTTGGAGATGGTGCCTTTATGGAAGTAATTAAGCTTAAATGAGGTCATCAGGGTAGGGCCTTGACCTGATAGGATTAGGCCTTATAGCTTTCTCTCTCCCTGTCCCGCTCTGTCTCTATCTCAGTCTCTGCCTCTCATTCCATGTATATACACCTAGGAAAGTCCCTGTAAGGACAGCCAGAAGGTGGCCGTCTTCAAACCAGCAAGAGAGCCCTTTCCAAGTTCCTAGGCTGCAACACTACATGTGACATTTCTGCTTCGTGAACCCGTATCAGTAAATTCGGTCTGATCCAACTTTATAAGTTTAGCAACTTACAATCTTTTTTTAAAGAATTTTTATTGGAGTACAGGTGCTTTACAATGTTGTGTTAGTTTCTACTGTACAGCAAAGTGAATCAGCTCTACGTATGCATATATCCCCTCTTTTTCAGATTTCCTTCCCATTTAGGTCCCCACAGAGCACTGAGCAGTTCCCTGTGCTGTACAGTAGGTTCTCATTAGTTATCTATTTTATACATAGTATCAATAGTGTATGTATGTCAATCCCCATCTCCTAATTCCTCCCACTCCCCCCTTTCCCCCTTTACAATAGTTATTGAGGCCAATCTCTGGACATGAGGAGGCTACCTATTGTCAGACAAATCCCTGCCCCTTGGTGAAGGCGGGTGCGTCAGTCCCCAGGGTGGCCAGCAGAGGGCACTGGAGGACAGACAGCCCTGCGAGCATCCTGGGCCTGAAGGTTCTTCACGGGGAAACACCTTCCGAAGTTCATTAAACCTGTGTCCTGACACGAACAGGACGGGCCTTCCTTCCTTGAAGCCGCGTTTCTGACTGTGCTAAATTAAGGTCGAGTCTTCATTAAGTGCTGAGCTCTCTTTGGATCCCAGGAAATAAATACAGAAGTTGCCACCCACGGGACTTTCTGGAAACCCAGCCCCTCAGCCCCGGAGCAGTATCAACCCAGGCACCTGACACCTGGGCGTGTGTCTGAGCTGCCAGGGAGGCCTGGCTGGGCTGCAGCAGGGATCCGGCCCCCAGGGGCTGTGCAGTGAGGCTGCTCCTCTGGTCCCCATCCGTCTGGGCTGCAGGGAAGCCCAGGAAGCTGCCAGCATGTCCTGGAACCTCCCACAACTGTTCACACAGATGCAGACAAGCCCTGGGGAAGGGCCAGAGGCTGTGAAAAGGGAAGGGCTTGACCAGGGGGGAAGGGGTCTGGGACACCGGGCAGGGGAGAGCAGAGGTCCATGAGGACGCCACCCCGAGCCAGCCTGGCTGGGAGGCATGGTGTCACCTCATTGTAGCAAGACAGGCCACCAGCCAGGGGAAGGGGCACTGCTCAGCACGCAGGTGATGCTTAGGTGTGCAAACCCCAGAAACACGCTGCACTCTGTGTGTGTGGCCCTGAAGCGGTGGGCTCGGGGACTGCAGAGGACACTCCGCTTCAGCCACTTTCTCAAGGCTGTGGGGTGCCAAGGCTCAGCATCCCTTCCGGGGTCCCCACCAAGTGTAGCGAGAGGGACGATGAAGCTTCCCCTCATTTCATGGGAACGCTGCTGGCCAGGCCAACTCCCAGGGTGTTCCCAGGAGGTCCAGCAGTTGGGGCCCAGCCTGCTGTGGGTACAGTTGTCCACTAAGACCATGGCATTAGCCAGGGCCACAGAAGGCCCCCTGGGGAGGGGACCTGGCAGGGATTAGCCTTCCTGCATCAGCAGGGGCGACCTGGGAGGGGCTGATGACCGGGCACTGGGGTAAGGAGATCGCATCTCTCCCCCTACTTAATAGGGCCTGGACTATCGGGTCAGTATGTGTGAATATAACAATAACTGGCATTAATTGTCATGAAGCCCTCGCCACGTGCCCGACACTGCTCTAACCACATCTCAGGAGATGTGGAGAACCTCCCCGAGGTCACACACCAGCACTGTGATGTCTCCTGTTGTTTCCGCCCCAAAGACCTGGCCCATCCCCTCTCCTGTGACTGCCTCAAAGCACCTTCATTACCTGAACCAGCCAGGCAAGGACCTGGGTGAAGCCCTGGAGCCCGGAGACCAGGACAGTGGGAGTGAGGGGCGGAGCTGCTGTCCCCTCCCCCTGCCAGGCCCTCTGCACCAAGCCCGCCCTTCTCCACCCTCAGCTATGTCCCAGCTGAGCCCAGCGAGGGTAGGGGTGCCCCTGGAGGGCGTAGGCCCAGCCGAGGAGGGGATGGAGGGGGGAGGAAGAAAGGTCGGTTGTCTGACGGAGGGGGGTCGGATGTCACCAGCTGCTGCTCCAGGGGCAACGAGGACACTCCCCATGGGCCACCTACAGAAGGGGGACGGGGACGGTCTGAACCACTCTGGGGGGCCACGCCGTTCTCTGTCATCAATGGCGCTGGAGCAAGCAGAGGTGTGGAAATAACGTCAAAAAGATTTAAATGGCCTAAGGATCCCCCGCCCGGGGAACGCCACTGAAATTGCTTCAAAATCTAAAAGTCTGCGCTCAGTTATCAGAAGGGCCGTCGGGAGCCGGCTGGGAAATGAGGGCGTCAACGCGTCAGAGAGAACGTACGAGAGGAGGTGGGGTTGGGGTCGTGCGCGAGGACTCCCGAGAAAGAGCCAGGACTCCCGCACCTGCAGCCCTGGAACAGGAGGCCTGAGACCAAAAGCTTCCTCCAGACCCCAAATCCAAGACAGCCAGGGCCGCTCTGGGAGCAGCACAACCCAATTCCCAACCCCGGGGGTGTGGGTATGAAGAATTCATGTGTCAAAGACCCTTTCCCCAATGTGCCAATACCAGGGCCGGCCTTGGCTCTGCGGGGGCCGAGCGCGGGGCTGAGTCGGGACAGACGAAGCGCACGTGAGGACATGGCTCCCGGTGAGGAATCTATTCACTAAGGCTGCGCCTGTCTCCACCCGCCACTTGTCTTGAATGTTTCAGACCCCGTGTTCCAGCAAGAGCCATTGTTTCATGGAGCTTCTGTGTGTGTTATTAGCAAGATGAAGATGCCTCAGTGACCTAAGGCCGTATGGGGCCCCCTTCTCAACATAGGTGTCCCGAGAGGGGATGTGAGGCCAAGTCCCTTCCTGAAAGAAACACTTTTTAAAATTCCCTCTTTTCAATGCAAAGCCAGTGTCACCTAGAAGGAGAGGCCCTGGGTTTCCAGGGTGACCATAGGCCCCGGGCTGGAGGAGGGTTAGGGAGGAGGGATAGGCCGCAGAAAGTCTGGCCTGGGGTCACCCGCCTGCACTTCCACCCTTGAGCCGAAGAATGCCAGGACCCCTTCACCCAGATGCCTGAAATATCTTTCACGCAACGACTTTCACACACGCTTCCTAAAAGCCTTGACGGAAGCTGTCAGCTACCTCTTTGGAACGGCTTTCAAATCGCAACAAGACGGATGCTGCAGCCGTGCGCTCCCAAGCCTCGGGGAGAACTCATAGGAGCTAATCTGGCACAAGCCCCGACTCACCTTTGGAAGAGGTATTGGGGTTCCTGGCACGAATTTCAAAAGCACGTGGTCTGCCATGCATTTGTAAAAGCAAAGCCATTTTGTAATTGCGATCTGAAATTATACGTTGCTCCAAGAGCAGCATATAATTTTTAGTATGTTTTTTGGGGTAAAATCATTTGAATTTTAATACAGTGATTTAGTACAAGAGTTATAAAGGGATCATGGATTCTGAAATTCCTTACATGCAATACGTTTTCACGGTCAGAGTAGCCTGAACGTATTAGATGAATTCTTGCTCTTCTGGCAAATGAAAGAATCTTAAAATTATACACACACTCGTACTCTCAACCTTTCTCTCTCTCTCTCCCTCTCTCCCTCTCTCTCTCTCTCTCTCTCTCTCTCACACACACACACACACACACACACACACACACACACACACACTGCTATTGCCACCTCTGTGTCAATGAAGCCAAAATGAAATTTAGCAGATTTTAAGTGTTTTCTTTATTTGAAGAAATTGCATGTGAAGCCATTGAAAAGGATAAAAAGCAGATTAAGAAAACCCAGGAATTCGGGAAACATGAAATCTGAACCCATAAGACGGTGCATGTTCTTCTTTAGTTTCAGGACATCCAAGGAGCCTGAGGGGTTCTCTGAAGCCACTGCCTCTTAATAATGACAGTCTAGAAATTTAAATGTGACATTGTTGGTGAGCACGTCAGAGAGCCAGGGTGCCTGAGCTAGAAGGCCCCGTGGGTTCACGGGACTATAGCCCTTAGTCCAGCCGTCCCTGCTGGAGAAGGAGCTGCCTGCGGGGCACAGGCCCCTGGGGCCAGATGTCCTCTGGGAGTCCATTCTCCCCAGATAACTGGTAATTTTCCAGGTAGACACTTAGGTCACACAAAAAAATCACTTGGAAATTTCTGAAAGTAAAGGCCATGCTCTTTAGAGCACACTGATTTCCTCAAAATGGGAAGAGGCATCCTTCAAGGATCAGTGCATCCTCACCATCTTTTGGAACACCCGGTCTTTCCTTGATCTTATCAAACTCAGTGTCAGGGACACACTGTAACTGAGGGGTGGCGGGGGAGGGGAGATGGGCTCTCTTGGGACTGGCGCTGGGGCAGGACCTGTCACTCGTGGTCACGGGAGAGAACTGCGGGGTCCACGAGAGAAGAGACCACATCTGCCTCACTCTGGGTCCCTCTCACTATGCCCAGCACAGCACGTGGCATTCAAAGCACCCAAAATAGTGACCCCACCCCACTGTGCTGGGACCTGGGGGTGCGGCTGAGAAAGGGATGCTTTCTGCAACCATCCAAAAGCCACAGTGGGAAGGCTGGAGGGCTTAACTTATTAAAAAGAAGCTGTCGTTGTTGAGAACATTCTGGAATTGCCTTCTGAGCTGGTTCACAATAGAGGTGGCTTCCTACACGAGGACACTTTTTCCTGAACTGGTCACCCACTGGGTCCAGGGGCCTGGCCGGGATGGCATCAGGCATCCTGCCCAGCCTAGGACCTCCTCTGCCCCAGCTCCCACTGCCCTCGAGAACCATCCTTGTCCAGGAACTGGACATTACCTTGCACGGAGAGCGGGAAGAAGCACCAGGGCACTTGGGGGATGGTGTCGGAGAAGCAGCACTTCCTAGAGGCGCACTCCTCGGGGCTGATGCCTGGGTAGCCGCAGTTCTCGCGCGCTGAGACCTCCATGACACACTCCTCCGACTCTGCCGCGTGCCACCGGATTTGGGGACGACAAGGGGACTCAGTTAGGCCAGCTAGCTAACCAGACATGTCCATTCCATCCTCCCAGGGGAGCGCCGCTGGGCTCACAGGCTCGGGGTAGCATGAGGGGCTTCTGAGACTGTCACCCCTGGGCTAAGAGTGGGCGCCCGCAGGTGGGCACCCCTTCCTCCTGATGCCAAAAGTCAGAATGTCTGGAGGGAAGATCGTCTCACCTCCCTGGACTTGACATTGCTCTGTAAAGCGGGGTGGCCCACCGTACCTCCTGTGGGGACCCTTTAAGGATGTAAAGCATTAGACCAAAGAATTGAAACCCAGCGATGCTTCCACTACTGGGAGAGGCCTGGCTACAACCAACCAACAGCCAGCCCTCGGGCCCGTTTCCCCCGGAGCCCGGGAGCCTCTGACCGGCAGCCTCGGGGGCTGTGGGCGGGAGGCCAGGGTACTCAGTTCTGCACACACGGATCAGCTTCGCACACAGACTTTTTTGTGTGCACGCTTTGGAGTCGGGGACTTTCTAAACAGATAATATGCACAGGCACAAAACTCACTCTCAAAAGGTAACTCAAGAAGACTTAAGTGAATTTCTTAACATTGAGGGTCTGTTTGCAGCTGTGTTAATAATGCCCTGATCTTAATGCCTCATGTCCCTTAGAAGCTTCTCAGGAGCCACAGCGAAGAGGGGCCTCAGAATTGTTTTTTCTTCAAATACTGTAAAACGGATTCCAACAAGGCTCCCCTTGGGGTCCAGTGTGGACATAGGGGTGGGGGCACGTTTTCCCTTCCCTGGGGCTGGCCCAGGTGGTGTGGGAGCCCTAAGAAGCCAGGTCCTGGGCTGCCACCCGGGGCACAGGAGGAGGTCCCAGCTCTCCTGGACGTTACCTTGCTTGGGGAGGGGCTTGAAACACCAGGGGACCCCGGGGATGCTGGAGTCGAAGCAGCAGCTGGCGGAGAAGCACTGGTCGCTGGAGATGCCCGGGAAGCCGCAGTTCAACCTGTTCTTGGTGCTCACACGTGAGCATTGGCAGGGATCTGCAGAGAGGCCCTGGCTCAGCCAGCCCCCCACACCTGCCCCCAGCCCCCGGGCGCGTCCGGGACCCCCCAGCAGTGCCACTCCCACCCTGGGAAAGGCCGTCTTATCTTGGTCGTATTTGAACCAGCCAGTGTCCTTCAGAGGAACTGACAGGGCTTAGCTGAAAGGGTTTTCTTAGTTTAAAAATAAAACCTTCTGGCAAGAGAGTGGACAGAGGCACTCAGGCCCAGGTCGGGATGAAAGTGGGCAAGGCCGGACCCCCAGGAGCCCTTAGTGGGCCTCCCACCCAGCCTCTCCTGGAGCCCCCGCCCACCTGAGCCTGAGGCCATCCTACTGATCCTGAAGGGGGTCCTCCTGGGAGGTCTCACCCCCCTCCAGTGCCCCCCTGCTGCCCTTCCTGAGTGGCGGGGAAGCAGGGGGACGCACACAGGAGCCGGCTGTGTGGCTAGCGTCCCAAACCTCAAGACACCTTCCCACCTGCTTCCCTTCTCAAGTTAACTCATCGCCTGCGTTTTCTCTCTGAGGGAAACTAACACGAACAGAGACACCCCGAGGGGCAGAAAACAAGGACCTCTCATGCCCTCCCTGCGCTCAGGGCACTAGAGGCCTCCCCAGGCTCGCTGGTCCGAATGGTCCCCACGGCCCCTCGAGGACATGAGCCCTCGCTTACCAGGTTTCTGGGCCCCCCCCAGGGCACACAGCCCTAGCAGAAGGAGCGCAGCCAGGAGCCGGGTGCAGCGGACCCCCATGCCCACGCTCGCCTGCATCCCAGGGCCGCCGGAAGAGTGCACGCTCCCCACTGCGGGGGGTTGTTTTATAAGCTTCTCTCTATTTGCTCAGTAAGCAAGATAACCCCCTCTCTCCCCGTGGCACTGACACTTTGGAACCTTTGTTAGGAGAAGGAGCTGAGGTAGCTTGGCTGAAGTGCCAAGTGGTGACAGAGCAGACCTCCGGGCTCCCCGGGCACAGCCGGGCTCCCCCCGACCCAGGCAGGGAGCCAGGTCATGCCAGGATGCCAACATGGAAGACGGGCCATGTGCGCGTGTGGCGCTGGGTACTCACAGGGTCCCACCCAGGAAGGGAGAAATCATGTATTTCTCCTGATAAAGTACTTGGCTACCACAGGAGTTTTAAAATATTGGGCCCAAGGCTACTGGGGGAAATGACCGGGCCAGCCACAGACAGAGAGAAGACCCCTCCTCCAGGAATGGGAGGGTCTCCGAGGAAGGCAAGAGACCCTCCTTCAGGGCTGCAGACCCCTCTCTCAGCCCCTGTCTGTATCTCCTTGTCTCTGTTTTGGGGAGGGGGCTGCTCTTCGTGGAGATGAAGCTGTCCAGGTAAACGGAACGGCCCCAGATGAGTGTAGAAGTAACAAGTCCGTTTCAGCAAAGCCTGAAGTGTGCCATGTTTTTCTTCCATGGGAACTGTGTTGCCTAAAAGATGGTACCTGTAAGCCAGCCTATGCCCAGGATAAGATACTCCGGGGAAAAGACTCTGTGCATGGGACCCAAAGAGAGAAAAGAGAAGTGGAGATGAGACACACAACACACGAAGGGGAATGTGGAGGAAAGAGAGGATCGTAAACTCCCTACTCTGGGGGACTTCCAGGAGCCACCAATCTGTCCAGCACGGCTTGAGCAGCCAGAAACCCAGAGATGCGTGGAATCGGAAACCCTGGGTCCTCAGGGTCTGGAGAGCCCAGGGCTTCTGCCAGCTCCAGCTCCAGCCGCCCCAGACCCCTGCCTATTCCCCCATTGAGCAACCACCACGACTCCATCTTTGCAAACCTTGAGAAAGTCACCTTTCCCCACTGCGTCCCTGTCACTCTTAGTCACCACCAAGACCTAGGGCCCCAAGTCCTCCCTCTTCCCCCAGATTCTCACCTCCACTTTCCTCTTGCTTCCTCCCCCTTGGCCCGACTTCCCACTGTGCCCTCCTGGCCCTTCCGGGATTCCCACCGAAACCGCCTGACCCATGCCAAAGAGATGGCTTATCAGCCCCTTGGTCTCTGACCTGCTCTGGCCCTAACGGAAGCCTGCATCTTCCCTGCGATGTTCCTCTTGCATGCATCTCAGGTGGAGGTGCTCAGGCCCCCATCCAGGGCACCATCCGCCCACACAGTATTTTAGTGCTTTTAGAAAAAGGCACATTTTCTTCAAGACAAGTTACTTCCACTGTGGGGAAGTCATTACGTTAGATACAATGTCTACAGTATGAGTGGCACCCACCTGAACGTGGAGCTCTGTGCACGGCACAACCTCTAAGCTGCGTTGGGTGCCTGTGCTCCCATCACGTGGGCTCAGGCTGGGGGCTGGACATTGACCTTGAGCCCCAGTGTCACCATGCTCCTCGGAATCGCAGCTGTGACTGTACCACCTTCAAGGCTCCTGCCCCACCGTCATCGGCTGACTGTCAACCTGCTCCTTGTTAAGGGTTTGGCACCGCGCTCGCTGTGTCCCTTGTCACACCAAGATGTGTGACATCCTGGGCGGCTTCAGCACTCCAGGGACGTCTCACCCAAAGCCACAGGAGCTCAGGTTTTTATTTCCTCCTCATCTCTGGGAACTTCCATCCCTCCTCCACTCTGCCACCCCTCCCATGACCACACTCAGAACCCGTACTCCACCTCTGAAAGAGGACATGCAAATGTCCTTTCTGATCAGCATGTCTAAGCTTCTACTGCTTCCTCGTTACTCCTAAACCCTCCAGTCCCTTAACCCCTCGGCTTCCCCTCTGAGCACTGTACCGTCTGCGTCTCCCCCTCCCCTCCTTCTCCAGCCTGGTTCCCATGGTCCCCACTCCACCTGCTCCCCCCCCGTCTTATCACCCCCAGGAGTACCCATCTGTTGACCATCTCCAGGCCCTCCCACCCCACCTGCTGTGCTAGCTGGTGCTGCCACAGGAGCGCCCAGTCTCAGACCCATCCCGCGCCTAGTGGGATTGCAATTCTTCTTTGTAGTGATGTTACCTATCAGTTCTCACAGGAAACAGAAGCCAAATGGGGGGTCCCTTAGATGTCACCCATGTCAGTCTACTTCTGATTATTATGGAGGTACTGGTACCAGACCGTTCCTCCTGCCATAAGTAACTCTAAACCTATGTGGAATAACCGTTTACAGATGCTGAGCAACAGGCTGTGTGGGACAGAAAGGGAAGCAGTGTGGAGAGGCCCAAGGTCACCTGGTTTTCTGTCTAGAAACACAGTCTGGCCACAGAGCATCAGAGGCTTATGGGGCTGAGGGACAGAGGGTGGAATCAGAGACCACGGGGTTATGGGTTTCCAGGGTGGGGGCCGGAGGAGAGGGACACCTGAAACAGGGCTGGGGACTCCCTGAGGTTTAGTCAGATGCTAAGCCGCCACACACAAAAGGCCAGGAAGAAACAGCTCCCAGGAAGGAACGCACACCAAGGAGACAGGGCTGTCAGCAGCCTGATTCACATGAGTTCTGACCAGCCACAGGGGAAGGCTTGTTGGCTGTCCAAGCACTGAGTAGGGACATAGAATGACCATGCCATGTCTTAGTCAGCTTGGGTGGCCATAACGAAATACCACAGGGAGATGGGTTAAACAACCGACATTGGTTTCTCACAGTTCTGGTGGCTGGAAATTCATTATCAGGGTGGCTGCAGGGTAGGGTTCTGGTGAGGGCTCTCTTCCTGGCTTGCAGATGGTGGCCTTCTCAATGTGTGCTCACCTGGTGGAGAAAGGGTAAGTTCCCTGCTGTCTCTTTCTATAAGACCACTAACCCCATCATGGGGGTTCCATCCTCATGACCTCTTCCAACCCTAATTACCTCCCAAAGTCCCTACCTCCTAATAGCATCACACTGGGGGGTATGGCTTCCACATATGAATGTGGGGGGGGTGGCACAAACATTCAGTCCATAACATGCCATAAGAGTAGGCTTGATCTTGTTCTAGAGTAAAGCCATACCCCTTCTAACAAAACTTTAAAACAAGTCCTAAAAGATCAAGTTAATCTATAAGTAAAGTGACTGCCTAACAGAATGAAACTCAGCATTTTGTTAAGGAAGACAACAAAATCCAGACACATGACATAGCATTCATAATGTTCAACATAAACTCAAAACTTACTAGGTGTGTGAAGAAGCAGGACCTTAAGCACTGGAAATAACAGAGAATAGAAACAGACCAGATACTGCATTAAAATGTTCAACTCCTTAAAGAGAAATATAACAAGGGAACACATTTTAAAATCTGCATAGAGGAATGGAAACTAAAAATGAACCAGGTGGAAATTCTAGGCATGAAAACTACAATATCTGAAATGAAAAATTCTAATTAGATTAGATACTTTAGAAGAAATTGCTGATTTATTTGAAGTCAGTGCAGTACAAGCTCTCCAAACTGGGACATAGAGAGAAAGAGGGCTGAAATAAAATGGAACAGAACCTCAGTGACCCATGAGACAGTGTCAGCAGACCAACATATATGTAATTAGTGTACCAGTAGGAGGGGAAGAAATATTGGGGCAAGAAAAAGGATTTGAAAAAATAATGGCCAAATTTTTTGTAAATTTGCTGACAAATATAAACTCATATATCCTAGAAGCTCAATGAATGCCAAGCAAGATAAAGAAAACCACATAAAGGCACAGCATGATCAAATTGTTGAAAAATCAGTAATTTTAAAATGTTTTTACAGCAACTGGCAGAAAGACACACTGAATTACAGGGGAGCATATTAAGAATGACAAGTGAGTCGGAGATTGGCTCAAGATGGCGGAGTAGAAGGATGTGCTCTCACTCCCTTTTGCAAGAACACTGGAATCACTGCTAATCACTGCTAAACAATCATTGACAGGAAAACACTGGCATTCACCAAAAAATATACCCCACATCCAAAGACAAATGAGAAGTCACAATGAGATGGTAGGAGGGGCGCAATCACAATAAAATCAAATCCCATAACTGATGGGTGGGTGACTCACAAACTGGAGAACACTTATACCACAGAAGTCAACCCAATGGAGTGAAGGTTCTGAGCCCCACGTCAGGCTTCCGAATCTGGGGGTCAGGCAATGGGAGGAGGAATTCCTAGAGAATCAGACTTTGAAAGCTAGCAGGATTTGACTGCAGGACATCAACAGGACTGGGGAAACAGAGACTCCACTCTTGGAGGGCACACACAAAGTAGTGTGCACATCGGGACCCAGGGGAAGGAGCAGTGATCCCATAGGAGATTGAACCAGACCTACCTGCTAGTGTTGGAGGGTCTCCTGCAGAGGCAGGGGGTGGCTCTGTCTCACCATGAGGACAAGGACAAGGACACTGGCAGCAGAAGTTCTGGGAAGTTGGTTACTCCTTGGTGTAAGTCCTCCCAGAGTCTGTCATTAGCCCCACCAAAGAGCCCAGGAAGACTCCAGTGTTCAGTCACCTCAGGCCAAACAACCAACAAGGAGGGGACCCAGCCCCACCCATCAGCAGACAAGCAGATTAAAGTTTTACTGAGCTCTGCCCACCAGAGCAACACCCAGCTCTACCCACCACCAGTCCCTCCCATCAGGAAATTTACACAAACCTCTTAGATAGCCTCATCCACCAGAGGGCAGACAGCAGAAGCAAGAAGAACTACAATCCTGCATCCTGTGAAACAAAAGCCACATTCACAGAAAAACAGACAAAATGAAAATGCAGAGAGCTACATACCAGATGAAGGAACAAGATAAAACCCCAGAAAAACAACTAAATGAAGTGAAGATAGGCAACCTTCCAGAAAAAGAATTCAGAATAATGATAGTGAAGATGATCCAGGACCTCAGAAAATGAATAGAGGCAAAGATTGAGAAGATGCAAGAAATGTTCAACAAAGAACTAGAAGAATTAAAGAACAAACAAACAGAGATGAACAGTACAATAACTGAAATGAAAACTACACTAGAAGGAATCAATAGCAGAATAACTGAGGCAAAAGAACAGATAAGTGACCTGAAAGACAGAATGGTGGAATTAATTGCTGCGGAACAGAATAAAGAAAAAAGAATGAAAAGAAATGAAGACAGACTAAGAGACCTCCGGGACAACATTAAACACAACAACATTCGCATTATAGGGGTCCCAGAACGAGAAGAGAGAAAGGAACAGAGAAAATATTTGAAGAGATTATAGCTGAAAACTTCCCTAACATGGGAAAGGAAATAGCCACCCAAGTCCAGGAAGCACAGTGAGTCCCATACAGGATAAACCAAAGGAGAAACATGCCAAGACACATAGTAATCAAATTGGCAAAAATTAAAAACAAAGAATAATTATAGAAAGCATCAAGGGAAAAATGACAAATAACATACAAGGGAACTCCCATAAGGTTAACAGCTGATTTCTCAGCAGAAACTCTACAAACCAGAAGGGAGTGGCATGATATACTTAAAGTGATGAAATGGAAGAACCTACAATCAAGATTACTCTACCTGACAAGGATCTCATTCAGATTCAATGGAGAAATCAAAAGCTTTACAGACAAGCAAAAGCTAAGAGAATTCAGCACCACCAAACCAGCTCTACAACAAATGTTAAAGGAACTTCTCTAAGTGGGAAACACAAGAGAAGAAAAGAACCTACAAAAACAAACCCAAAACAATTAAGAAAATGGTCATAGGAACATACATATCAATAATTACCTTAAACGTGAATGGATTAAATGCTACAACCAAAAGACACAGGCTTGCTGAATGGATACAAAATCAAGACCCATATATATGCTGTCTACAAGAGACCCACTTCAGACCTAGGGACACATACAGACTGAAAGTGAAGGGATGGAAAAAGATATTCCATGCAAATGGAAATCAAAAGAAAGCTGGAGTAGCAATTCTCATATCAGATAAAATACACTTTAAAATAAAGAATGTTACAAGAGACAAGGACGGACACTAAATAATGATCAAGGGATCAATCCAAGAAGAAGATATAACAATTATATATGCACCCAACACAGGAGCGCCTCAATACATAAGGCAACTGCTAACAGCTATAAATTGGAAATCAACAGTAACACAATAATAGTGGGGGACATAAAATCTCACTGACACCAATGGACAGATCAGCCAAACAGAAAATTAATAAGAAATACAAGCTTTAAATGACACAATAGACCAGATAGATTTAATTGATATCTATATGACATTCCATCCAAAAACAGCAGATTACACTTTCTTCTCGAGTGCGCACAGAACATTCTCCAGGATAGATCACATCTTGGGTCACAAATCAAGCCTCACTAAATTTAAGAAAATTGCAATCATATCAAGCATCTTTTCTGACCACAATGCTTTGAGATTAGAAATAAATTACAGGGAAAAAATGTAAAAAACACAAAGACATGGAGGCTAAACAGTACGTTACTAAATAACCAAGAGATCACTGAAGAAACCAAAGAGGAAATCAAAAAATACCTAGAGACAAATGATAATGAAAACCAGACAATCCAAAACCTATGCAATGTGGCAAAACAGTTCTAAGAGGGAAGTTTATAGCTATACAAGCCTACCTCAAGAAACAAGAAAAATCTCAAATAAACAATCTAACCTTACACCTAAAGGAACTAGAGAAAGAAGAACAAACAAAACCCAAAGTTAGCAGAAGGAAAGAAATCATAAAGATCAGAACAGAAATAAATGAAATAGAAACAAAGAAAACAATAGCAAAAATCAATAAAACTAAAAGCTGGTTCTTTGAGAAGATAAACAACATTGATAAACCATTAGCCAGACTCATCAAGAAAAAGAGGGAGAGGACTCAAATCAATAAAATTAGAAATGAAAAAGGAGAAGTAACAACAGACACTGCAGAAATACAAAGGATCATGAGAGATTACTACAAGCAACTCTATGCCAATAAAATGGACAACCTGGAATAAATGGACAAACTTTTAGAAAGGTATAGCCTTCCAAGAATGAACGAGGAAGAAATAGAAAACATGAACAGACCAACCACAAACACTGAAATTGAAACTGTGATTTAAAATCTTCCAGAAAACAAACAAACAAACAAACAATATCTTCCAAAAAACAAAAGTCCAGAACCTGACGGCTTCTCAGGTGAATTCTATCAAACATTTAGAGAAGAGCTAACACCCATCCTTCTCAAAGTCTTCCAAAAAATTGCAGAGGAAGGAACCCTCCCAAACTCATTCTATGATACCACCATCACCCTGATACCGGAACCAAATATACTACAAAAAAAAATTACAGACCAGTATCACTGATGAATATAGATG